CTGGAACAGGCTGCCCAGAGAGGTTGTGGAGTCTCCTCTGGAGATCTTCAAAACCTACCTGGATGCCACCCTGTGCCATGTGCTCTAGGTGACCCTGCGTGTGCGGGGGGTTGGACTAGATGACCTCTAGAGGTCCCTTCCAACCTTAACCATTCTGTGATTCTATGATTTCGGATGTTTTTATATCACCAACTGCCTCTCCTTTGGAAAGGAACCGCATCTTCCTGGGCTTTTTTGAAGGATGGCCTTGACACCCAACTGTAACGTCACGGCTATGCAATCCTGGCAATTTGAACTAGAATATTTCAGAACTCTCTTATGCTCTGATTTCTATCACGAAATTACCATTTCAATGCCAACCTGTGTGTCTGCACATACACCATGTACCGAGAGATACTTTCTGAGCTTTTAAGACTGCACTGTTTAGTTACAAAGTCAAACAATGGAAATATTCACAGAACTTAAAAAGGAATAAACTGAATAAACTGAAATACTAAACTGAATAAACTGAAATCATCTGAAAACAGCTGTTTAGAAAGCAGCTTGCTAACAAGTATATCCCTTTCAAAACAGCAGATAATTCAAGTCAAAGTACAAAATAGCTATGCAAAGTCTAAGTGAGAAGCTGAACTTTCATTCCATGTCAGAAATCACATGGCAGGAAAAAGGTACCTTCCCTCCCAGCTCCTGCTCACAGGGAATTCATATGTATGAACGTGGCATTATCTTCAGGTAGAAGATAACAATAGAGGGAGATGAAAAGGGTTTGGAAACCGTGACCTAAGAGTACAAACAGTGACACAGAACCCAGGCAGGCTGAAAACCACCCTGAGCGATAAGGAGAGTGCAGTATGTAAAAGGTGTATCTATTAACCTGGCAGGTACAATAGAAGACAAAGCTGTGTCAATATTGGATTACTTGTTATTTCAAATAAATGGGTTCTCATGCATCTGCACAGTTCTCAGCCAAGCTCTGGAAACCAGGGGATCATGCAGTGAAATGCAGATGTGTTTAAATAACACTCTCGTTCATTTTACCAATACATCTCCCAAAACAGAAGCAGGGTTGACCACCCGTGGAAAATGTCCCTGAACAAACAGATCAGTAATTACAATTTCATACGAATGTCTGTGTTCAGCCTGTTTGCTGAAACACAAAATGTATTTGTCCTTTCTCTTAAACACTCCTTGTAAGTGAAAAAAATATTGTGACAAGCTTGTTTTCCATCTGCATTTCATATTATTCCACAGAAATATATGTTCTGGCACATACATAGCAGCCAATTACAACAACTAAACAAATTTTTTTCTCAACTTTTAATTTTCCAAGAAGGAATACAGACAGACACAAAAACATGTAATAGTATAGACAAAGCTGCAATAAACAAAGAAATGTGAGAAAAGCATGATGAACAGCACTGTTTCTATTTGTGATGAATGAATAAATAAATTAAATTCAGATGCTGCTTCTTTGTCAGTCAATGTCTATTCAATTTTTATTTTCTCCTCCATTAATATCATTTATAGATTTCTAGTGCAGTTACAATGCATGCTAGCTTGCACAACACAACGCCAGGGTGTGTGGGGGCAAATTACTTTTTAATGTATATTCCTGGGTAAAGCAAAGTCTAAATAAATAAATAAAAGCTGCCCATCCATCCAAAGGGAATTCTTATTTCTTTTAGTTTCCCATTTCGAGGCAAATGACCTCATTTATATACCAAATAAACTGCTCAATATAAACATGTAACTCAAGCCTTTCGAGATCCATGAAAAGCTAAATGAAACAAATACCGGGAGACAAAGAATCAAATAAATTAATCACAAGATGCTCTTTAATACCTTTTAATTGCATATCTGTAGGAGAACTGAGCTAATCTTCAACCTCGCTTGGCTCTTAATCTTTCACAAAGCAGATTCTGAAAGGCATCCTCCCAGATGTACATGACTTGAGGTAAATATCCATTTCTTTATGGCATCCCTAACCCAACAGTATCGGAGGTGACTTACCACCCCCAAGGGTTGTTTTTACAGCACTTTCAGCTCCTACCTGTCTGAGTGAACCCTGATTTGTATCCATTAGCTGATCCACCCTCCGGGGTCGTGGACGGTGACACCGAAGAATTTGGTTTGGCAGAGTGGCTAGCAGCAGAGGATTGCCTGCTCCTACATTCTGGAAATGAAGTAGCTACAGTACAGATTAACACAGCCTGCCTTCCAGGAGGAAAGTTCAGCAACACAGTGGGGCAAAAGGGGACAGAACAGTAAAAGCATGCACAGCACACAAACCAAACAGCAGCAAATGGCAGCATTCGATGTAAACACAGCTCCCACAAATTAGTCACAATTTTGTCTTCTAATTAAGAAAATCTCCCTGGGGGCTGTTCAGAGTGACAAGCAAATACACACCAGATGCTGCAAAATAGCAAGAGCTCCCAGTTCTCGGCTACCGAGAGATCTGGAAGCACTGGACACATCCCAGGAAACATTCGGTGACTTCCGTGGCAGAGCCTTTATACAAACTATCATATGTTGCCCTTTAAAAGGAAAATTGTGCAGAAGCCCAGATTCTTAGCATGTCTCCACAAAATCTTCATCCCTGGGGCTGTCTGGGTGAAAACAGTTGAGGGAGAATGTGACTTTAAAAAACATGTATTCATTCATTTTTAAACTGAGATCTAATCAGCTTTGTTTGAAAAGAAGGGGAGAGTTTAAGAGCATCTTTCTTCTAATCAGATCCTTAATGAAAGTGTTTGGGAAAAGTGTAACCATACGGATGGTATCAATATGGGTATAGATCCTGCTGAGAAGATGCCCACAAGATCTATTCTTGGTCAATTTTATAGAGCTCCAGGGTTGCTTAAAACGCTTGCAAGCAATTTGTCACACCACAAGCCAGCCTGGGATCTGCTTCTTCAGCACATTTACATTTGTGATCAGAAGAATGTTTAGAATATTTTTTTCATGCGAGTTACTGCTGACAGCAATCACCAGGTCACGCACTAATTGCAACTGTACAAATATAAGAATTTCAGAAAAATATTTCCAAAAGATGACTGAATTCTTCCCTGGTGCATCTCAGCATACCAGTAGTCTAACTATTGTCAATAATGAAATATACATATATATATATATGTATATAATGGAACAAAATGATGTGTGACTCTGGCCTAACCAACCACAGATACTGTGAGCAGTATGCACATGAACATCACCAAGCAGAGCAACTCCAGTTCCAAGGAGCAATTTACTAAATGCTGCATGAGACTGTAGCACTGAATGAACAAGCCCTTTCATATACCCTGGTTTCCTTTCTGTGTTTGGAACTTTAAAAAGAGACTACCAAATTAAACCTTTCCGTAGCTTTTGCAAAAAGTTCTATAAAAAAATAGACCTACTCAAAATAGTAGTAAATTATATTTGTAACTGAGAAGACCAGCTGAACTACAAACTAATGCAGCACCCAAACCCTTCATACAGTTCTGTGATACAATCTCACTGTGCTGTTACAGTGCCTTTCACATGAGGATATGACTCTTCATATGTGAAGCTCAACGCTCTTCTGGAGCTTCTCCTCTCCTTACACCATCATCCTCTTCGGAACAACAGGCGGCAGAGCCACTCTCTTTAATGAGCGAAACTGCAGCTGCGGAAAGCAGGCAGCCTGGCACACATACCCCTTAGTGGGCAGAAAATAGCCAGAACAATCCCTCCTTATGTCTCTGCATGGCTCTAGCATCCACCAGTAACCAAACCCACAGCTACCTTCTCTTGGCTTCAACGCTGCCATCTCTGCCATATCAACTGCAGTGCACAGACTGCGGGAGAGGCTAAGGCACAGCGTAAAATGCCCAGCAAATGGGCATTTAATAATACTGGGCCCAGTAAAAAGTGAGCACCATTTCACCCTCCCTTTCCCTGAGATGAGCGACCAGAGCTTTCTCAGCTGCACAGTGTGCTAGCTCTCTCCGGGCACTGTGCTGCCTCCTGAACTGCACCTGCTAAGATGAGTATCAGTGCAAAGCTAATGTTGGAGAGCTGGCTCTGAGTCATCCTGCTCGAGGCGCAGAAAACAACTAGCAGACTCAGGAACCTTATTCCTCCTACCAAGATAGCTCGACATCTCAGGAAGGATTGATTTAAGGCTCCCAATGAAAGCATGGGGAGGGAGGACAACTATTTATGATTAGGCAATTTTTATAAGGATTAGATAAGCTGCTTTGGTAAGACCCAGGCTTCAATGAAATCAGCAGAAATTTTTCAGCTGCCTTTAATGAGAAATTCACCTTCTATAATATCATTTTAATTCATACATTTTTTTCACAGCACCTTTCAATTTCTTGTTCAACATTAAATTAATATAATCTAAAAATCCCTAAGTGAATGGGCACCTTAATTACCTTTCCAGCAAATAAGGGGTCCCTTTGACAGTACACCTTGGGAGCTTCTTACTAGGTAGTACTTTAAGTGCTTCTGCTTCTTTGGTTGAGTGGTTAATTTCAGGTTGATGTGATTGGAAAACTCTGTGAAGTACCGAAATCCTCTTTCTCCACAGCCTATACAATTCCCAGAAAATCCTGGAAAAGAGAATGACGCAAAAGGTAAGCAGTAAGGCCACTTTAACATACCTGCACATCTAATTAAGACCGAATGAAGGTCTCCAGAGAGAAAGCTATTGTAGATGCCCTGCTTGGCATATGCATGTCAGGAAACAGGCAGAGAAATTTTAAGTTTTAAGCTTTTTAAGCTCTACACAATGTAGAGAGCAAAAACGACTTGGCAGGGGGAGAAAATCTACGCTGCCAGGTTAGGAAATTTTGGCAAATTTTGCTGATTCACTTCCACATTTGGACACATAAACAGGTGAGCTCCAAGCAGCGTGCTCACTTCCCACTCTCAAAACAGTGATTAAGCCACAGTATCCGCTGCAACTTTGTATGGCTAATGCCCACCTTCTCATCTAGCGTGTTTTCTCTTACACAAGGCACTTTACAATTAAGGTGAACCTTGTAACTTATTATTACATCTTAAAAGGAATCATTTAAAGTCAAAAGTTTTGATTTTCACAGCAAAACTTAGGAGTGCTTAAGAATGCTTTTAAAAACCTGTAATCTCTTATGAAAGCAACAGATTTAGGAATAAAGGGGTAGGCAGAAGACTGCTTTAGTGCAGTGTTACTGGCTCAGATTCATGGCTTCACTGAATTAAGTTCTGGAGAGTGGGTGCCAGACTGACGATTATCTAAAACCCTGCATTTCCTCACAGAAAATTGTTTCCTACACTCACTAGCAAATCTTGTAGCTTCATGAAAAAAGATACTAGTTTGTTTTGAGAAAACCTTTTTTTCCATAAAACTCCACTAATTAGGCCATTATGTTTATCCTAACTACGCCTCATTACATCTTTTACCATGGTATTGCCCAGGATGCCCAAGAGTGCACTTCTTCATGCTGTTTCTCCCCTGGAGGCACAGAACGAGTTCTTCCCTTCTCCCCTGCAACCTGTTACCAGAAGTAGGCATCAGGGTCTCACAGAGTTACTGAGCCACAGCTTTGCTCTAAGTGCCAGTTAATGCAGGCCTAGAAATACCTAGAGATACTTAAACAAACAAATCAACATGAACACTTGATCCAGGTGGCCCTTGATTAGAGTGGGTCAAGCACCTCGTGAGTGAGTGTGAAGGAGAGGCCTGTGTAAGAGTCAGACCTCGAACCCAGGTAGCGGACACAGCAGTTTGTGCAGAAGGTTGCAAAAAGGCACCTTTGTTTCTGTGTGCTGTTGTTGTGGGTTATGTCCTCAGGTTATGGAATTTAGGGAGTTATGGAAGTCAGCAGGGTCCGTAGCATCTGAGAAGCTGAGCAAAGGATAGATCGAGTATTCCTGGAGACCATACAGCTCCAGGAGTCCCACCTCCCTGCAGCACTGGAGCTGATGGAGGGCTCTGTGCTGTGTATAGCCCATCGTAACACTCTGAAGGCATCTGGAAACTGGTCAGTTCTTCAGGAGGAGTAAGAACCTTTCTCCTCCTACCAGACTTGCAGTTGAGGAACAGGTTTAGTGTCCTGCAGGCTGAGGGGGAGCTGGGCATGGCCTCAAGGGAAGCAACTGGGCTGACAGACCCTGTGCCATACAGGGTCACCCAGGAGAAGCAGCGAATGGCCATTGTGGGTGACTCCCTGCTGCAGGGCACAGAGGCACCTATCTGACAGGCTGACCTCTGGTCTAGAGAGGTTTGCTGCCTGCCAAGGACCTGAAGATGTCTCAGAAAGACTGACAAGGCTTGTCCACGCATCAGATCACTGTCTGTTGCCCTTCCAGGTGGACAGTAAAGATACCAAAGCAAACTGGAAACCAAAGAGAATTTCATAGTTCTGGGGTAGTAGTCAAGGGTTTGGGAGCCCAGTTCATTTTCTGCTCAATCCTATCAGCAAGGGGAAGGATGGGAGGAGGAGGAGATGGATTTTCCAAGTAAACAACTGGCTGCACTGCTGGTGTTGGCAGCAAGGTTTTGGTTTCTACAACCATGGGATCCTGTTTGAAGATTATCAGCTGATCCACTCCACTAAGGGGAGTACGTGTGTCTTTGGCCAACTTGTTGACCAGCCTACTAAGGAGGGCTTCCAACTAGGAAAGATGGGGGAAAGGGAAGAATTATAGACAGGGTAGTTCGCAAAACAGGCCTGGGAAGTCTGGTGGGCAGGTTAATCATGGGCCAGCAATGTGTCCTTGTGGCCAAGAAGACCCATGGTCTCCTGGGCTGCATTATGAAGAGTGTTGCCATCAGGTCAAGGGAGAGGATCCTCCCTTTCACTCAGTCTTGATGAGGCTGCACCTGGAGTGTCTAGTTCTGGGTTCTCCAGCACAAGAGACGTGGAGCTACTGGAGAGGGTCCAGCAGGGGGCTGCAGAGATGATTAGGGAACTGGAACATGTTCCCTATGAGCAAAGTCTGTGGGAGCAGGGCCTGTTTAGCCTGGAGAAGAGCAGACTGAGAGGGGGGTCTTATCAGAGTATGCAAATACTTCAAGGGAGAGTGTCAAGAGGATGGGGTCTAGACTATTTTCAGTGGCCTCCCTGTGATAGGACAAGAGGAAATGGGCACAAACGGAAACACACGAAAGTCCATCTGAACCTGCCTGGATGTGATCATGTGCAACATGCTGTAGGTGACAACATGCAACGTGCTGCTTGGGGGAAGGGGTTGGACTAGATGATCTCCAAAGGCCCCTTCCAACCTCAACCATTCTGTGATTCTGTGATCAGCACTGCCAGAGCAGAGCTGTGAGGCAGTAGGCTCACTATTAAACAATATCAGAGATGACAGACAGAGACAAAGCTCTGTAGGGGCTTATCAGCGAAGACAAGTACTACTGCATTTGATGGCACTAAACACCATCTGTCTGCCCATCAGATGTCCCTTACTGATTAATTTCTTGGCATTTCCCCTGCTCAGCAGGGAGCAGCTCCTGAGGTCTGTACCCCAGGGCACGCCAGGATCCCAGCTCCCTTGCTCTACCCACCCACACAGCTCCCACTCGATCCCAACTGATGGGATTTCTGCCATAAGTCTGAAAGTTTGCAGTAGCATTTTAAATGGGGTAAGAGAGAAATAGTATTAAAGCTGATAACTACCAAAAGGAGATCTTTTTCAATATTTGTGTGACATATTGCTAGTCTGGAACTGAATTTTAGCAGTGTGGTTAAATGTGGGTAATTCTACTTTACTGTAATATCTTCCCTGTTGAAAGGGAAGATTTCTGATTCTATTCTAGGGATCGGGGAGAGAAAGGAGAGAGGGAATTCAAAACAGGCAAAAGGAGCCAAGCTACATTAAATCACTTTTAGCACTATTTGTGAGCCTGTCTTCAATCAGCAAGAAACATTCTTGTATTAAACTTTAAAAACTCAGCCAGTAAATAGAAAATACATAGCTCATCTTCTACAAGTTGTATGAGCATATTTCTTCTTAAATAAAAATGCTGTAAGCATCAGTAGAGATAAAAATATATGGATATCTCACAATTAGAATTCTAGGACTGCTTTTGACTTCTGCCCATAAGCTTGTGTTAACTGTAGAATCAGGGACTTGTTTTAAAATGGGCTTTTAAGGCAGGTTCAGCTCTGTATTTGATTCAATAAAAACAAGCCTCCCCTCAACATATTTCTAGTAGAAGATCATTAGCTGAAATGATTTTAGGTAATTCTGAAATTACTTTCCCTCTGAATTATTCTAACAAGAACAAAAAACTCTTACCTAAAAGTGCATTTTTTCCATGATCATCTGGCAAAAACCGCTTGTCAACAGCACAGACAAGAATGTGCTCAGGAAGGTTTGGCGACTTGGCTCCTACCAGCAGAAAGCCAGCTGGGATATCAATCTGCTCCATGCACAGAGACACTAACCGTAAATCCTTGCCTGCTTGACAAAAGCCTAAAAAACAAGCCAAAACAGAACAGATAATTCTTATGAAAGATTTGCTTTAATTTTCCTCTTTCCACCAGTTGCAAACAAATGGGGCTCCCTCCACAGCTTAAGGCTGTAACTCACACCTCTCCTAACGATAACTGATGGCAAACTCCCCAATTCCATGGTAAGTGTGGAGTCCAAAGACAGCACACATTCATCCGTGGGCCTCTTTTGCCATCGAAATATGCTGACACACTCCACATCCATCTTCACAAATCAGTATTTTAAATAAAATCTAACTCATAATGAATACAGTTCTAACATTGTTAAAATTAAACATTGAACTTTAAATTACTGTAATACCTATTAAAACTTAAACTATTGAAGCATATTAACTACACTTAATTTAAACCATTATTCAAACAGTCCATAGTTGTTATGGATTTTTTAAAGAAAAAAAATCAAAACAGAAGAAATCACTGACTAAATATATGAGAACACCAAGAAATCACAGCTTTACCAAACCCAGCTGAACTGTTATTAATATCTGTGTCTTCACTCGCACATAAAACAGATAAAACTCAGCAAAGCTGGTGGAAGCAAATTTTGTCTGTGATTTCTTTTTTTTTTAATGTCAAAACTACTGGACAAAGAACATGCACAAAGTGGAATGCAACATGAGTCATCATAAACCTCCTAGCAAGCAGCAACTTGTTAAAAACATGGTCTGGTTGGGTCTGGTGCCTAGATGCAAAATCTGCTGAAGTTTACCCCTCTTTTGACAATGTGGGCAAGCAAGAAAGCAGTAGATAAGGATTATGAAACAGCAAGTGTGATAAGATTTGCAGACAGATTTAAACTTATGTCTCTAACAATTACAGTTCATCCTGTCTCTACCTAGAAATTTTCTCAATAAAGTGCAGAGACTAATAACAGCTTTCTAAGCTGTTAGCTGATAACAATACGAGAACATCAAAGACAGCAGGATTTTGGTTGTCAACATTGGTAAGTTACATTTCAAGTGAGACTTGCTTTCAGAAGAGGCATATGACATTCAGAGTGCTGAATATCACGCAGGAAATTTAAAGCCTTTCTGGATACATGTGAATTTTGATGTCCTACTCGGCTGAAGCAAAGCTCCAGCCTTGCACAGGATCTGGGGGCGAGCAAAGGCTCTGCTATGAGCCAAGCTAAGGAGCCATTCAAAACACCTTCAGACACGTTTTGAACAGCTCCACATCCCCATTTTCCATGAAACCCCAGAAGCAGAGACACACCAGAGCACCTTAGCAAGGTGATGAGCGTTGCTCAGGAACAGCTCAGCAGTCCCCATCGAAGCAAAGCTACACATCCTAGTCCAGCATCACAGGCAACAGCAGCCTCTTCTGAGAGACTCTGATCTGAACACATTTAATTTTTCTCATCATTTAGGATACCTAGGGCTGTACCACAGAAATGCTGAATCCCACCTAATCTGCAAGCGACACTTCAGACACTTTTAGGCGCACTTCCTGCACCTTCTCCTACTCCGGCCAGAGTCCTCCCACATCTCTCTGCTTCCTTCTTGCCCGGTTTTCTCCTCCATCCCCATCTGCTTCGGTCGGTGAGGTGCTTAGCACCGAGCAAGGGGTGAGCAGGCTGACCAGCCAGCACGTGCCCACGGCACGGGCAGGCTTAGGAAGAGAAGGGCTGTTATCACTCTCCCGCCTTAGGGGACACCAGCTGGGGGGCACTGATGTAGACAAACCAGCTCCTGGACTTCAGGGATCTTGCTCAAGTTCAGTATCTTTTAAGATCTCCACCTTTCTGCCGATCGGGGCCTAGAGCGGCCGCTGGCTTCCTGCCGAACAGGCTGCCGAGCACACAGGCCGTTGCACAAGGCCCCGCGTCTTCAGGGGGCAGCCAAGCCGGCCCCGAAAGCAGTGGCCTCCGGCTCCCCTTGTGCAGCGAGCAGAGCAAGGCTGGGGCAGCGGCAGCAACAGGGGGCAGCACAGGCAGAAACTGCGGGGGTTTGTTGGCCCCACAGCTGCAGCAGCGGCAGCAGCAGCGCGGGGCGGCTGGCGGCAAGAGGCAGGGAACGCGCGCCGGCTGCTGCGCCTGACAAACCTTGCATTCCCCTCCACGGAAATGCAGATTATATGTTTGAGAGCTGTTCCCTGCTCTGCTCTGGGGCTGCAAGTCACTCTTCTAGTTTTCAGTTCCTGCTGCTTTTTTAAACCACATTGGAAAGCTCCACACAAAGCATTTCCATTGAAGCGAGTCCTCTGAAGGGAGATGCATGGCTTTCTTGGTGCACTCTGATTATAAAGATGTAGTTTTCTAGCTGACAAGCAGCTTGGGAACCCCAACCTTTCTTTTCTCTTTCACATGGATTTTGCGTTGATATTTAATTCTCTGTGAAATATACCTATATCTACAAAGACAAAACATGACCTCTCTTTGAAAGTGCAACTTTACATTTTAAGGTTTTGGTCATGCCAAAATCCATTTACATTTCATAGCTATTCATTTATAATTGAGTTTGCACATAAATTGCTATGTCAAGTAACACTAACACATGCAACTCAAAAAAAAAAAAAAAAAAAAGGAATATCACTTTAGTGTTATTCACATATATTCACACATATAAATGTGTGAGGTTTTTTAATGGACACAGAAGCATAAAGAGGAGAAAACCTCTGAGCCACTGATAAAAATTTTCTTTTTATTGTATTGTTCATCAAAATGTAATTTTCGGAAGCAAAATCACACATCTGCGCTGCTGCATTTAAAAAATCATCTCCCCACAGGATCTGAGCTTTTTTTTTTTTTTTTTTTTTTTTTTTTTAAGAGCAGGCATTTATATTCCCAGTAGAGATTTGCAAATACCGAAAGCAGCCCCAAAACAGAATAATGAATAGCTTTTACAGGCATTATCTGCATTTCTTTGAAAGAAAACTGAATAGTTTTTTTGCTTCTGAGAAGCACATTTGCATTCTCTGGTACGACTTCCTTTAGGTTAATGTAGTCTGATCTTCCTGAAAATATAAGTACATCCACACAGCCACTGACATCGAGAAGTTCTGCTATCTTCTTAACAACGAAGATTTTCCCCACTAGGAAGCAAAAGCAGTTTCATGGGGGGTGCCGACTCCTTGCCGTAGTGCAGTAAATGGGATATTTGCATAAGAAATTAGGTTCCAAGAATTACATACGAATGGCAGGTCACTGTCACTTGCTATTGTAACTTCACAGTAACTGATCAGGTGTTAAGTACCTGCTTACCTAATTGCCTCTGAAACTACCCTGGCCCTTCTTTAGCATCAGGTAAATTGAGGATTTACTAACAAAAGGAGGGTGCTACTATTGTGTTTCACACATCTTGCATAAAATGCTATTCCACTAATTCGAAATAGCCTATTTTAAAGCTACAGTAAGCAAGCTGTTAAGAACAGCTTCTTGTATTATTTTTTGCTGCATATTTGAGATGCTGCTATGAAGATGAAGCATTTTTATGGAAACCTTATTTTCATGGAGCACACAAGCATCACAAAGCATCATGAGCAGAAAAAAAAGTGAATCTGCCAAATCCTTTTGTTATTCTTGATTTTAAAGTCTTTATTTTTATCACTAATAAGGGGATAAGTTACAAATGCCCCTTCCTGTGTCCCAGAGCTATTTAACAGAGAAGTTAAGGGATCTAATATTACAATCAGCTGATAGAGATCATCTGAATAAATTGTCACTTGGGAGGTATTTACTTTTTACTGATGAATAGAGGCAGTAAGATCTACTTTATACACATGGGACTGACAACGCAGCCAACAACTCTGAATATAAGGAACATATCAATGCAGAAAAATAATATGATCATGGCATAAACTCCAATTTCAGCAAAACAAATGGCACAAATACTTTATAGAGAAAGAGATTTTGCCCAACCTATATTAAAAACGGGGAGACAGGTTCTGCAGCAAGCAGAATTATAACTGCATGTTCATCTTAAAGCATACAAACAGCTACTGTGACTTCATTTAATCTAACAGCATTTTAAAACATTTTCTTAATGCTATTTATCTTTGGAATTAAGTAAGAAAGATAAGGAATGTAAATAATGGCAGTGGTTGATTCTTAATGTCTCTGGAAGGGCCAATGCCCAAGAAAGATGATCTATAAATTAATACGTGCTGCAAAGTGAGTGTTTGGGAACCTAGGTGTTTCAAACACTTCAATGAAACTGTTCTGACATATTATTAGAAAGATTTTAGAAGACAGATTTTCCTTTCATTGTCTAGGTATGTAATCCCTTTTCTTTTAAATCAGCTTCTTGAGGAAAACACTGAAAAGAGAGGCAGACTTTGTAAACTCAAAATGGCATATCTGACTGAAGAGTAATGGACAATCCCCATATTCCGAGGATATAAGAAAATTCCTCCCATGGCAGCCTGATCATAAAAAAAGAAAATAAATCAAAACAAAGAACTGCACAGATGAAGTCTTCTTCTTCCAGGATATACTAAAGAGCTACTAATTTAAATGTAATTAACATATTTTGTTAACTATAGTATAGCCAAGCACAATCTTGTTATGTACAATTAGGAAATTTTCAGTTTGGAAATTCACCTGTAATATCTTTGTCTGGGCATGTGAAGGCAGCCAGGGACTGCAAGAACACGTGAACACTGGGTTTACGGGACTAAAAAAAAAAGATTTCCTAATGTCATATCAAAAGGCCTTTCACAACTGAACAATTGGTGCCCTTGGAGCCAAACTTGGAATTGGAGCCAAAGCTTTTTGTCCCTGTTCCCACTACTAAAAGTGATTTCTGAATTCTGTCACTAACAGTTAAAGAATTCTCAGCTTTTAACCCAGACGGACTCAACCATTTTATGCACCCAGTAGATTTCTGGCTACAGGACCCTATTGGCATGAGTAGCTCTTCGGTCTCCTTTGTGTATTTACACGGCGTCATCATATATCACCTCAGTTTCTGTTCAAGTGGGCAAAAAGCCTCTCATGAGATATCTCCTTCCTTTTTTTTACATCTTGTTGGTTCTCCTCTGCATCCCATCCTGTTTATTTTACGTTTCTTTAAAAGCAGTGACCAGAACTGTTCATGCTCTCCACAGGAGATTTTGCAGCACCTTGTACAATGCCATTACTGAACCTTACTCTCTATTGAAAATATCTGCCTAGGAATACATCATTTTAGATTTGCTCCTCCTCTTCTCTTTCTAAATTACAAGCCCCTGAAAGACAACAAAACCTCCCATTCACAAGCACTAACTTAAAACTGAGCAACAGAGTGTCTCAGCAATATCCCCCAGCTTCTCGTAGTAGCCAGTCTATTTCTTTGTATTTCAGGGAACTGGAGGTACATTGTTACAGAGAGTAAACAGCCTTATGTAAACTGCATTCAGAAGGGACAAAGGCAAAAAATGTCAATGTTTGTCACCAATTACCAGAAAAAAAATCTGAAGATGAGCAGAAACTGGGGCTTACATCTATCACTAAACGTTACCACATACTACAGTAGGGTATTCTACAAATCACAACTTTCTACAGCCTCTACTCAAGGAAGCCCCTCATTCTGGAAGATAATGAATGAAACATTAATAAGGTTTTAATTAAGGGTCTAAAAAGAGGGATTCTTTGAATTCAAGAGTTGGTGTGGTTGGTTATTTTTAAGAGAAACCCATATAATAATTATTAATAGATCTTCTTTCTTTAAGAAACAGTTATATATTTAGAATACCACAAGTATGTGATAAGATGAACAAATCTACAAAGTTTACTTGATCCAACAAGTATAGTCATAATCATCTGACCTTTTCTTTAGCATAATTAAAAACAAAACCAAAATAGTACCATGACAAATTTTGCTCATTTTGAACAACAAGGACAAGGACAGTTCTGGATAAGTAAGCAATAGCCAGCAGATAAGTAAGCAATAGCCAGCAGATAGGAAAGACAAAATTGACCTGATGCCACTACCTGTTTCAGGGCACCAAAGACTGGTTACTGCAGCAGTTCCCACGCAAGGGACAGCAAGGAACTTCGTCCTCTTTGGGGAAGAGCAACACTTTTCATCCTTCTTATCCCTCTGATAGCTGAAGTAACAGCAAGTCTCCAATTTCTCTCTCTCCAAACTCTTCCCTCTGCCTGTGACAGGCCCCTCTCCCTTGCGAGCAGCAAAATCCCTTTTTGCCCATGTTTCAGAGAGCCTCAACCAATCTGACAAGAACTGAGAAGCAGCCATAATGACACTTACTTAAGTGACTGCTTTACTGTCCAGTGACAACCAAAGTAAACAAGGAGCTTCTAGAAATAACAAAGTGCCACAGCAAGTGACACTGCTTTCATGTAATATATTCTACTTTGTGTCCTGAAACAAGTTCTCTCCTTCAATATTGTCTCAGATCTAAGGCTCTGACTGTAAACGATTTTTCCAGACAGACTTTCTGGCTCAAGAGTTTCTACCTTTCAAAGGAACACATGGTAAATGAGAAGAAATTGTAAAGGTTGCTTCAAGTAAAAGAATAGACACCAACCATCAGTAGTGCAAGACCCTTCTGGGGCAGGTTTTTGTGAATATGGGATTGGTGGACTACTTGAATCTGACATGTCTTCATCCTCCTCTTCATCTTCCATTTCATTAACAGCTTGGTTGGTTGGAAAGTCCAGGCTTCCATTTTGTGAATAGCGATGAACTAACTCTTTATCCAACTCTTCCACCTTTGGTTTCACATCTGAACAAGAACACAGAAAAAAATAAAGGTTTTGTGAGTATTTGCACTTATCTCCTTTTAAGATAACCAGTATGCCACACATTCTCTTCAAGGAGGTCCATAAATCAGATTTTGTGTTACACAATTAACTGCAGTTCTTTGTTTGTTTTGCTTTTTGTTCCCTCCTCCCCTCCACCCTTTTTTTTTTTTAATGAAAAGCATCCCACCCTTTTCTCATATAGAAAAACGACAATTGAAATGTGCCATACTTTCGTGGTTACCTTCCGGCAAGAAAGGAGGCTGGTCAGGATCCAGGTACAGCTGTGAGAAGATGGGCCGTGGCACAACACTGCTGCATCTCAAAGAAGCTTCTATGGAGTTATGAAGAGCCTCTTCAAAGCGGGCAGATTTTAGTTGCCCTGCATAAGAATTCCCCATGATCTAAAAAACACAAAGAAGAAAGTCAGTTAATGAGGGGATGCAGCCCACATTACAAATTAAACCTTTTTTTATGTCCATCAGGACAGTCATTAGCAGTGGCTTATAGTGAGCAACGGGATATAGTGTGAAAATAACACCTCTGACTAGTACTGCATGGTACTGCATGGTACTGCATGTTCATATTTCTTGAACATGGCAAACTCTGTAACCTCTTATTTCAATAGCAGCTCTTAGCACATCTCAAACACATACTTTTGTGTTTCTCTCTACATTTTCTGCCTACAACCTCAGGAACCTATCTAGTATAGAGGGTTGATAAAGCTACTGCTATTATTATTTTAGGATTTTCAGAGTATAATACAGAAGAGCAAAGAAAATTAAAGTTGTGTTGTTTGGCTTATTTGCTAATTGTCTCATTCTGTGCTTACAGTTTTATTTGTGTGCATGCTGCTGTTTGCAGAGAAATCGTTATGTACAGACATCCAACAACTCCTTTTCATCTTGTGACTATTAACTGAAGTTATCTGGAGGGTAACGTTTATGTCCTTCCAGAGATCTTCATCCCTCATCTTCCATGTGGTTCTGTGATTAATTTTTTTTTATCCTCCAATACACATAATTCAAATTGTCGAATCATACTCTTAGAATACTTTTATGTCTAATCATATTCTTACAACAAGAAAAAATAAACCATATACAGCAAATACTTTGAAATAATTTTGCACACATAATAATTATGCTTTATACCACTACAGTGATAACACTTATTTAGATATCTACCTTAACAGTTAACATTTCAGCCTCTTTATATCAATCATCGATACATGAACTTAATAAAATATCCAAGCCAAAATGTTAGATCATTACTTGTTTTACCCTCCTAGGTGATCGATTACAGCCCATAGCCTATTATATTTGCGCCCTCACCTACAGACTCTCAAATGTAAATACTTAGCAGCAGGGGTCCATGGAAGGTTTTACAATCAGTTGACAGGAGACTCATTGAAACATAAAACTTTCCACTTTGATTTTAACTGCACAACAGTTCTTATAACTGTAACTGGGTCCTTTTAACTTATAACTGGGTCCTTATAACTGTACAACAGCTATTCCAAAGTAGCAACAACAATCTAACACTTGCCAGTATTCAGGATACCAGAACAAATTATCAGAGAATTTTATTTCAACACAGCTAACTTTTCCCTGGTTAAATCAATACAAAGGAAAGTGCAAATCTCTATTACATTATCTTTGTGCTTTCCTTTACTAGATGTCATCTAGTCCTAGACCAGGAAGAGACCTTGGCCAAGAGAAGATAAGTTGCTATTCAGAAAATCTAACTTCTATTCCTGGCTGATCCCTGGGTTGCTCAAGGTCCTCAGCGCCACCTGTGGAAGGGCAGCAGTGATGCCAACCTGCTTAAAACGGTGTTTGGGATCTCCTGGTATAGACAAATATTTAAGAGCTAAATAGTACTGTAACACTCGGGTATTTGGGGATGAAGCTCATCTAATTACTCACCTCCTACCCGGGAGCCAGACCATTTCCTCTTCAGTCACAGACTTTGTGCAACTTGGCAAATAAATCCACATTTCTGATTTAGCCCTGCTTCTAAAAGTTTAGGGCAACAGCATTTTCCTACCCAGTATGAAGCAATATGAAGATAAATATCTGTTAAGAAATTTTGTTCATGTGACACTTTATTGAAGACAAACAGACTGTCTTTCTTACTTTGCAATTTTCATTAAATATTTGTAAATGGGAGGTGGCTGTGAACAAACATAAAAGTAACAAAGTGACCCTGGGAGAAAGCTATGCTGAAGCTTGTAACACACTGCAAATCCTGAGATGTCTTCGAATGAAAAACAGCTACATGACAAATTCTACTTTTACTGAAATGCAATTTCAGTAAAATTGCAATGAAATTTCCATAACTTTCAGTGAAAGCACAAGAAATTATTATGTCATGAATTTGCATACTATTAAAATTTCCTTTCTGTGTGACAGAATTTGATGTCAGGCATGCCAAGCTTAAGGTAGGATTTCAGGAATGCATGCAAATGAAAACACTTTAAAGTGACAAAATAAATCAACCTTTAAGGATCAGAAAATCTGCAGTTCCACAGTACATCTATCTGAAACTTGTCCATACTCTTTGTTCTCTACAGCCTACTGGGTGTAGACTACCTATGCCAGTTATTTTAATATTGGTGGAAAACTGCTAGTAGTATGCACATGAGACAAAAATCTTGGAGATTGGGAGCTACTTAATTTGCCTTCATGGACTCTGTAGGGCCAGATGTGCCTGTGAATGGTGGTTATGCCATGGAGTTACAGAAGAAGGTGGGTTAATATTACTGGGGGACATTTCTGTCTTGTCAAGAGACGCAAAGCAAGATTGCAAGGAAACTGCAAGGGCCAGGGGAAGGCTTGGCAACTGCCACTGGTGCAAATGCTGGTCACGTTGTAGCATGGAAATGGAGAAGGAAGAAGGTTCATGGATGTGTTTGCCATGACAGCGCACAGCAGCGCAACAGGGAACAGCAGTTTGTGGCTGAGCAGCTCGGGCTTGAGTGACACAAGCCCGGCGAGCATCTCGGGTGGCTTGTGCCATGCCAGGAAACTAGGACCCAAGGAGCTCGGCTCCAGAAATCCAAACTGAGGGAGCTCATCTCCTAACGGAGCCTGAGGCCCTTAGGAGCCCTGGGCCTCACCTGGAGTTCAAGGGAGCTGCAGTGTGGGGAGCGGAGGGGCAGGAGGCTGCGCGGGGGCCTCTGTGGGAAAGGGGGAGCTGCAGGGACCCTCTCGCCCTCACACAGGGCCCTGGGTCCCGTCCCACGGCACTGACCCACGGGGCTGCTCCAGGGCACAAACCCAAGGGGTTCTCACGGGCAAGGGCCAAGGGACTGGGGGCAACCAGTTCCCTCTATTTTTACACATGCACTAACTGCAGCTGCTTTAGTACCGAGCTTGCTACGCTCCTGGAGAGGAGCTGTTTGCACGTCTTTAAAGCACCATCCCAACCTGGCCTTTCTTTTCACCTGCACCACTGACAGTCAGGTAACTTAGAAGCTGCTTTTTCCTTTCCGCCTAGGCAGACTAGGTCTGCGCTCTGCTCTCTTCTTAACGAGCCCTTCAGCTCCGCTGTAAGATTGGACTGCACAAGGCCATGGCTATTCTGTGAGCGCTTTGTGTATATATGTAAGATTTTCTCTTTTATCATCTCTTACGCCTCAAGCAAGGAAAAACTTTTGGTGGGGTAACAGCCACACATCAGCTTTCCCACCTCTCTTTCTCACCCACATGCTCTCCCTGATCAGGTAGACAATGTTTATTTCACATCCTGAAAACTTTCTTAAACTGAGAGATCAGAAGGCACAAATTAAATAATTGCAAAGGTACTTCTAAATTCATGCTTAAAATACAGATTACCTGGGGTCACAGTCTCTATTGCTCTGAGGGTACCTCTCTGCAAAAATTCAGATCTCGAGTCATCATGATTACTACCGCACGCAGCCTGACTGTGTCTGTCGCTGCTGTGCTTCTTCAGAGCAGATTTCCTAAGCCTGCACTTCACTCTTCTTTGCAGAGATCTGACCCTGGACCAGAGGATTAACTCAGAGATTGGCTGGAGTTAAGAGAAGTGCCTTGCAGCAGAGCTGGAAGGCAGCCCTCCCCTCTGGAGCTGGGGCCTTCAAGAGACACAAGAACGAGGCAATTATGAAATTCCACCAACCTGACCACAAACAAGAAGTACCAGTACAACAGATTTTAATCAAGACTTAAATATGGGCATCTATTATGGAAGTCAAAGTTATGACTGCCAGGAGATTCCAGAAAAGGGGACAAAAATGAAGGTAATATAACGCAAAATTTCAAAGACTGTTTTTTAGCACTGCATCACCTAACTGGGCAGCGAAGGTCACAGAGAAATTTTAGCGGCTGTTTTAGCCCCAGAAGCTGGTGCGACAAGGAAGTCTCCCTGACTGAAGCAGATAATCCTGCCCCACGCTGCCGTCCAGGTCTCCAAAGGTTGCTGCAGAAACACGATCCTGGATGTTGAAGAAGAAACAGGACCAGCCTCTTCACGACCCCAGCAGACTCTGCAACACTGGCAGTACGGCAAGCACTACCGCTGTGGTGAACTCATTCCAGCTAGAAAAATAGGTGACCCTGGTCCTATGCATATCTATAGAAACGTCACTGGGAAGAGCATAGTTACCCGGTAACTCAGCGAAGTAAAACTACGCATTGAGTTGAAGACTTTGCTACCAAAAATATAATCAGACTCCTCCATATGCTAGATACCACACATTTGGCCTCCAGGTAGGTCATGACCCAAGCGACTTTAAAGGAGAGGAACTGAACTGGAGGATGAGGGAGGGGGTGAGTGTTGTTGTTATGGCTTAAAGCAATTTCACAATTACCTGATAGCGAGTGATGAATCTGATGCAAACACCCTCCATTAAGTCGGCTCTATCAAGTCCTTACTTTGTGTTTAACCTAATGATGTAATTGTATTCTTCTAAACACATAATCTGCGTTCTGATCTGGCCTAACCCCACAGAAAAGTTCCCCTTCAAAGGGAAAGCAAGTTCCTTGACAAAGGCACTGCTGGGCCCAAAACAGCTTCTGTATCTCAAAGGGTCATCTTCGTCAAAGAGAGACCAGGCATCTATTTATACTGTAAAATTGCTTGGGAACTACTTGTTTTCAGCTACTGCAAGCATTTTCTGTTATTTATCTCATCCATATAGCTGTTTTGAGAGACTTTTTTTTTCCCTCTCCATTTAGGACATCATTAGGATCCCCCCATATACATGCTTACAGGAGAAATGACAGCAACAATAACAAATATATGCACTAATTAAAAGTATAGACTTTAAAGTGGAAAAATAAACATGTATAAATATCTATTAACTGTAGCATTCCATGGGGGAAGACTTGCAGGGGACTCAATGCAAGAGTGCAAGACCCATTCCCATTAAGAGATTCCCATA